GAGTAAAAGGCAGGTTCAGAGTGGCGGCTTCGGTAGCGAAGAGTGATGTCATTGATCATGTGCTTTCTTCTAATGTGAGGTGGTGGAGTAGAGTCACTTTCTAACAATCTTCGGTGGCACCAGTTTATCACCATCTCCCTAACCAAAAAACCTGGAGACAGCGAGACGGTCAGACAGGAAAAAAGGCAGTCACCGATGCAGACATGAAGACAAGGAGACACGTACCCAGTGACCTCTTGCTGACCACACTCCCGCTGACCAATGGGACGACCAAACCAAACTTGCTGGTGGTGTTTTCACTGACGTGGATTCGGTAGAGTCCAGTTTTCAGAGGATGTATAAAAATCAGCTGGATTGTGGATACACTAAGAGATTGATGGACAAAAGTGTGTTTGCACATTTTAAGATTTTTCATAGTCTTAAAGCGTGAGAATGATGAGAGTTTTACCTGATCTCTGTTTGTGACCTGGTATGTGACAGGAGACCAGACACAGGGAAATTCTCTGAAACACAAAAACATGTTTATCCTCCATTCACGGCATAGACAGATCAAGATCACCTACATTAATAGTTAATCTGCCACATTAAGGCCATTAAGATTCCAGAGCCTGTGTTTAAACATGTAGTGAACTGTGTGAGTAGTATAACACTTTGTCTTTGAGCTGAGTTGATCACTCTACGTGTCTCAGTCTCTTCAGGAAACTCTTCTGAATTTAAGACATCTCTCACTGGCAGTCTCTTTGTCTGTGTGATCTGTAATGTCACCATGGACTTTAAATTTGCACAGAGCAAGCATGAACTTCTGTTTTCAGAAAAATGAATCATAGTTACCAATGTCCTCGAACCGTTCGACCCAGACTATCATCAAGTTGCATTCAGAGCTGTTACACGGCATCATTGCTGGATAACTCTGCACAGACGTGAAAGATCGAGAGGCAAGTAAGAAACGAGCACGTAAGATACAAATTAGAGGAACAAGGAAAAAAGTCTTTTATTTTGAAAGTCCATACATTGGATTTAGAGTGACATGGTAGGTTGAGTGGTGACTCAGCAGGTGGGAACAACACCTCTGAACTCTTTGACGA